GGTGAGACTGCGGTTCGTTTCGTTTCGTTCGTTTCGTTTCGTCTCTGTGATATCTGTGTCTCGTCCATGTTTACGTCATCGCGTTGGTGGCAGGGGCGTTGGCTCCTGTGACGCCATTGGTGGGTTCCTCGTTGGTACTTGAAGGTTCTTCTTTGGTGGGTGGTTTGGGCGATCGATCTTTATCCGTCCCGCGTTTGGATAGGTTGTCGCCGTTCGTAGATTCCGGGGGTGATACGGCCTGTCCATTTGGCCTGAGGGATTCATTCCCAATGGTCTTCTCCGGTTCTGGTGTCCGTTTGCTTTCCGAAGGTTTCTCTGGAGCATTCAACATCTCGACATCTTGTTCGACAGCTGTCTGCTCCGGAGACACGCCATTCACAGCAGAATTCACTGTCTTGTTATTCGATAGGCAATTTGTGATATCCTTCTGACGTGTAGCTGATCCGCTACGCGAGGAGTGGCCCGATTTAACCCGCGCATTACCATGCTTTGACGATGAATTCAATCCGTAATTCACGTCAAATATATTCCTATCCTCCATGGTCTCCAGAAAGCCACAGGGCATCCATGGGGCGTCGCCCAAGAGTTCCCTGTGCAGCCGTTTGGCCTTGTGGAGCATTATCTGCTCTTGTCGAAGCTTCGCATTGGCATCTTCCGCCATCTTATGGAGCATTCTTGAGGTATACGGAAAGGACATTGAAGGGTGGGTCGCAAGTTCGGAAGGATGTTTCAGAGGAGCGAGGGTTTCTGCAAAAGACAATAACGCCAAAAAAATTTCCACCATTAGCATTGTGACAGGCAATTTTAGCGGGAGGGGTTCAGGTGTTTTTAACACGACCGCTCACGTTCAAGGTGTATATCAGCAAACGGATTTTCATCCCCCATTTCGGGATCAGCATGTTCATCGGCATCTTCCAAATCCAACTCATCGCCTTCGGAGTCGTACTTGGGCGGATTGCGTTCCAGGATATCTCTTGTATAACCAGCATGATTGATTTTCTAATTTTCAAAAAGAAACTCAGTTGTTAGAAGGTTTTATTCCCGACCTCTTCCTTTTTTTCTCTTTTTTACTTTTTTTTTTTTTTTTTTTTTTTTTTTTTTTTTTTTCTCGCACACACACAAAGCAGAAATAGCAGAAGCCATGCAAAAACACCCATAATTTACCTTTCTATAGAACTCCACACCGTTCATGCAACCAAGAGCACCTTCATGGACATATTGCGCATTCAGTTTGAGCTTGTTACCGCGATTTGTGGGTTGTGTGATGGGGTCATCGACACCGGTGGCTGTTGAAGCGGATAGCCCAAAAAAAAAAAAAAAAAGCATAAACGTTGTCAGCAAAAAACGGTCGCAGGATGAGGAATATTAAATCAAGTCAAGGAAGACCACAGTAGATAAAAACTTCATAATACCATCATAGGGTAGAAACAGCAAACAGAAAGAGGGAAGGACAAACCTAGACGCTGGCGCTCAAGAGCCCTTTTCATCGCGGTGATGGTGTCCGCGATCATAGCTGCTTGAACCGCCATGGCTGGGGGTGAAGAGGAATGAATGGGTTCACCGCCCCACCAAAACACAACACGCAGACTCTTTGAAGGGAGAGATTAAGACGAGGGTGTATGCAGATTCAAAAGCCCAGGTTCCTTCCGCCGTTGCTCGAAACTGTCTGTGAACTTTGGATAGATTCGGTGGGGGAGGGTTGGAAAAGGGGTGACTGGGTGGGACAGACAGGTTGCGGAGGAGAGCTTCGATCGCCTGTTTTGGTGGCCAGCGAAGAGGACGAGCAGTGGCTTCACGGGAGTAACAACAGAGCGTGGCGGAGGAGCAAACGATCGGGAGAGACGGACATGGGGAGAGAGTGGCAAGGGTCGAGCAGCTGCAGTGGGGCGGGGGAAAAAGACGCGGGAGGGAAGAGACCAAGGGCAAGTTGGAGACGGGGGGAGAGGGGGTGTTTGGTTTGGAGCGTCGGGAAAGTCCTTCGCAGCGGCCCCAGGTGATTTAACTCAAGGCATCGGGGCCACATGTACAGGTACCTGCGCGCACTTGGTTTTGGCTGTGCTCGCAGGCTGGGACTAATGTCTAGGTACCGGCACTCGCGCTGGGTCGGGTTAAAGTTGTTGCTTGCTCCAGGCTGTGGGAGGGAATAATTCCAGGATAGGCTTAGCGACGGTGGTTATCCCGTTTATGTCAGCGTGCATAAAATTAATTCCCCATGACATAATAACAACAGAGGAGACTACCAAAAGCCCAAAAATGAGCCCGGGGGGGGGGGGGGGGGGGGAGAGGTGATGGAAGGGGGGCCGCCTTTCTATAATATGCCACCCTCCGTCTGCAATTGACCGCTAACGCCCGTAGAGGCGGTTATACCAGCATTGGGGGATGTATGCTGAAAGGCACACTCGACGATGAATCGCGCTCCAGAACAGCCAAAACAAGGGCCGAAAAAGCCAAAAAGAAAAAACCAAAAAAAGCCAAAAAAAAAAAAGGCCCACTTTCTGTGTACACAAAGCATAAAAATAAAACCGAACCTAAAAACTACAGCCAATTTCCCCCTCTACTCATCCCCAACCCCAAACCCAGGTTTCGACACAGGTCTCACAACCTGATACCCCTTCTCTAGCGCCAGCTCAACCGTACACCGGACCCTAACAGCCGCAACAGCAGGCCACACCCCCCTCTCCCCCTTCAAAATCCACTTCCCCAGTCCCAATCCCCCCTTCGCATCCACCCTCTCAAACACCCTCCCCAAATCCCCAACCCCCAACTCCGGCAAAATAGTTAGATGCGGCCCAGGCACATCCTCGTAGATCAACAGCCGACGAAGCGGCGTCGGCAACAGGCCTACACCATCCAGCTGCCGCAGACGATGGCGGATCTCTAGATTGACTATGCGACCCGTGCGTTCGATGAATGTCCATCTGGCCGGGCGCACTCTGCCAGGCCGCTGTTGCTCTTCGGGTAGGTAGAGGGGCATGCGGTAAGGGCGGGCTTGGGCGACGATGAAATGGTTTACGTTGAAGAGTTCTGAGAGGCGCGAGAGGGGGCATTCGCGATCGCTGCAGCCGAGTTCGCGCCAGGATCGGAAGAGGAGGCCGTCGCCGTCGGGCCAGGGAACTATGGCTCCTGTCTCGTCTTTGCAGTATAACGTCACCCGTGAAGAAGTTGCGGAGGATACGTTCGAGGCGGCGGCGGCGGACCATATCAACTATGTAACAGTAACATCAGCTCCTGGGTGGGCAAACACCAAGATAGATAAAGAGGAAGAGAGAGAGAAAATTAGCATCGTACCACATGAGGCGCGGTCAGATAATTAAGCAAATTCGGCGTCCCCGCCTTCCCAGGAATCGGTATAGTAATATTTAGAGAACGCTTTGTCTTCGCAAAAGCTTCTTCGAAAGTCATCTCACCAACAGTAGCCTTGACATATTCCTCCAGAAGTCTAAGATCCGGACAATAGCTATCTCGAATATATTCCTCAGTCCGGCGGATCAAAGTCGGCAACCACCCATGTCCATCACCACGCGTGAGAAGCCCCAAAATGCTCTGCCGCTTGCTACGTTTCCGCTCCAACAGTCGATCAGATATAGCCTCATCCATCCCTTCCCCATTCAAAATCGGCAAAAGCTCCTCATCCGTATGAACCCCCACTAGAGCCGCAACCAGCGCCCCCGTCGCAGTCCCAGTGATAATCCGCGGCAACAGTCCTCTCAATAACAACGCCTTGACAATGCCAAGATGGCAGGTCCCGAAGACCGCGCCTCCTTGCAGAAGTAGCGTCGATCTCCCGAATGCCTGTCGCGTGTCATGGAGCAATTGGAGCTTATCCTGGGAGTCGAAGGCTTTCGGGTCGCGAGGCACCGTCTCAAGTGCCGTGATGTACTCTATCGCACGCCCCAGTTCGGCGATGTACTCTTCAATTAGCAGTTTGGTACCGGAGTGCGCGTGGTCGTAGAGTTGTGGAGAGGTGATGTTGACGAGATTCCTCACCAGGCCGGACCGGATGAGATGGACGATGGCCCAGATGTCGTTGTTGTTTTTGGCTTGTATGAGGCTTCGCAGCCTCTGTTTAATCACGCGGTGGTCATAGTGGATGCTGGGGTGACTCTCGCGCCTGGGAGAGCATAGTTGGTACATGCAATACATACATAGATATATATTAATTGTTTAGAAAAGGGAGTAGGACAAACCAGGCATCACTCCCCACCGCCTCATCCAACAGAACCGCCCCGGCCTCCCACTCCTCAAAACTCTCCGCCGCCGCTATGCGCCTCCGCGCCACAGCCCTGGGCGACTTCGCAAGCCACCACGCAAATAATCTCTGGATCAGATACCAGCCCGTGTCAGTGATATATCCCAGCGTGGCAAGAAGGATAAGCAACAGCTGCGTCAAAAGAAAGAAAGTCGCACGGCGTGCGGTGACAAGGATAATAAGGATAACAGCAAGGGCGGGGTTTTTGTGCCTTATCGCACAGGGACCTGGGCTGGATCTTGGTAGGTGAGGAGCATACATGGTTGCGGCAGCTTTCGATAACTATATTCAAGACTGCGGCCAAGGGCGCCAGGAGGAGAACCCGGGTGCCGAGGAGGACACTGGTTAGGATTATGGAGATTGTTTGCGGCTTGGTTTCGGCATCTTTGGGTCTGATGCGCATCCTGTCGAGGGCGCTCGGGAAGGGGCTGTGGGCTGTTGTGGGGTATTATGTATGTGGGAGGCTGCCGGCTGCTCCTTCGCGAACAGTCGCATGCGGTGGAGCGGACTGTGTGGTTGTGGAGGGATGGTATATGCAGTTTCAAGGGAGACAAAAAAAGGGACACCATGGAAGTTTATAACATCCAGGAAGCCTATGTTTTTGGTTTCTAGACCCCGTTCTCGTAGATCGGACTGTTGATATATGGGGCGTCACCGTGAAGCCATCATTGTATGCATTAGCTGGTGAACACATGTCCCATCGTGTGTCATGTAGTGGGCTTTACGCAGCAGCAGCTTCAAACACCACAGCCCAACTTCTGAGAATTGGGGATATGGTCGTCGGAATGTATACCTCCGCGGTTGGTTATGCAAACTCAAGGTCCATTGGGGGGTTGGGTGAAAAGTTGTCGAGGTCGTCAAGATCCCGTTGTATCACATGCTGACAGCTTGCTGCCGGTTGGACCTTGGGGCTTGGCAGTTGGCAAATATAACCCAAGATTGACGCTTAGTCAACCTGCATTTGTTAGTTACACTAACTATAACTGGTTATCTTGGTTCATCCCACTGCCCTAGCCACGTGACTACCTTATCGTATCGTTTAGATTTCGGCTCGCCTAGCTGAACACAAACTCAACAACGTCAAATCCTCCAATGATAGAGAGTATAAAGGAACCATGCTGTATTGCAATAGGAATCCACATTGAGATCAGAGATTATGCCACTCCACGGGTGAGATTGGCCGAGCGGTCCGGGGCGCTAGTTTAGGGTTCTGGTCTCGAAAGGGGCGTGGGTCCGAATCCCACTCTCATCACCCATACTTTTGGCTCTTTTTGCGGCTTTTTGCTCTGGCCAGAATAGGGTTGGTTCGTGCTATTCCAACTATCCATAGAGGAGGGGGGGGGGGGGGGGGGGAATGAGAGGAGCATAGTTATGGAATGCGAAAATGGCCACTGTGAAACAGAGTCCTCCTTCTTTCTTCTCTAGAAAGGGAGCTGCGGGAGGGTTTCAATTCCCCGATTCCAGCTTCCCTGACATTCAGGCTTGGTGAGCACATCCCCTCCTGCAGGTATCAGGAGGGGTCCAATGAGTTAAAGAACTGGAGCAAGCTGAAGAAGAGAAGTAAAAACAGAAAAAGATGCAAGCGTGTCAATTAAGCTCCCACGCAAGAAAAGAAAAACTAGCAATAAGGATGACTGACATATTTTCCCATTTCATATATTAAAGAATAAGAGAAAGAAAACAAGAAGAAAAAGAGAGAGAGAAGATAGAAAAGGGGAGGCTGGTCGTTGGTCTGATGAATGCTAATAATGATTCTTCTTATTTTTTTGTCTCTTTTTCCCCTTTGTCATTTGAAATAGAAAAAAAATCGCTTCCATCCAACCCCCTTTTCCACCATTTCCTTTTTATTGTATTCCCTTTAAATAAAAAAACAAGAAAAAGGACCTCGCCCCCCATCACCTGACAAAACAACCGATGTGCAGCAGAACGACCCCCTTCAATCCTCAATGATATTACCCCGCTCCGAAACGTATATGCCATCCAAGAACTATGGAGTTTGAAAGTAGCACAGTTAGTAAAACAAGAAGAAAAAAAAATTACGAAAAGGTCGGGACATGGGTGAGCAAAATGGGCTAGGAAGAAAGGGGTATATCTACTTTTCGGATATCCTTATTTCTAACCCGGCAAATTTGTTGGATATCGGCAGCACTCTGTGAAACGCCTTCCAGCGAGTTTCCAGTGAGCTGGATCTCATCCTTGACGTTGGGCGAGACCATGATTTCGACATCTGGCTGGCAGACGACGCGGCGGACTCGCTTCTCGCCAAGGAAGTTTCTGTGGAGCAGAGAGTGGTGTTTGGTTAGCATGCTGTTGGTGGAAAATCTATATGCCGGTTTGTGTTTTTTTTTTTTTTTTTTTTTTTTTTTTTTGAGTCTTCTCGGCCGCTTGCTGGCAGAAGCATCTAAGAAGAAGCCCAGGAGCTCCATCATTCCCAACTTCCCCAAAGCAACACCCCACTCCCCACAAACAAAAAGAACACAAAAAGTCAATAAAATTTTTAGGAAGAAAAATTCATTTATCCATACCGAATCTCAACCTCAGAAACACCGGTATCCTTATTGGTCTCGATGTTCACGTTGATGGGGAAATGGGCATAGACGTAGCGCATCTTATACTTGAAACCGCGGGTGACGCCAATGATCAGGTTGTTGATGAGGGTGCGGACGGTTCGGAGGGAGGCGATGCCCTTGCGGGAGCCATGGTGGATCTCGATGGCGAGGACGTTTTTCTTGGGCAGGCTGAAGGAGACTGCGAGATGGGAGAGGTCCTTGACGAGTTTGCCTGGTTGAGTGGAGAAGGGGGACGCGGTTAGATATGCGCTCTCTTACCCTTGTTTTTTCCATAGAGATTTGGTTGTGGTGTGGTAGGGTGTTTTGCTCGGGGGGGTAGGTGAATTGGGTTTTAAGGTCCATTTTGAGATTGATTCCAATCCTTCAATGGCTGTCTTTTTTCGATGCAGAAGAGGACATGCATGGATGGAAATTGGGGGAAATGGAAGACATGGCATACCTCGGGGTCCTTCGACAGTGACGACCCGCGATCTGATGTGTATGGTCACTAGAAGTCGTGAAAAAGGCCCAGTTAGCAAAATATTCACCGTTCTCTTATCTGTCTCGCTCTCACTCCAAAAAATCGCCTTGTATACGATATATCGGATCAATTCGAGTCGAAACTCCAGCATTAAACCCAACGACATCGTCATCTCTCCTGCCCGCAACCTCATCATACATGCACTGGAAAAAACCAGCCGTTCTCAGTCCCAATGCACTGCTTTTCCAATCCACAGCAGTAACTCCTCTCCCCAACCCTCCCTCATTCATCCGTAGAGAGACAACAAAATCCCACCCTCCATTCTTCTCCCATCAAACCACCCATCCCAGACACGAAAACAAGGGAGAAAAAACAGAAGAAAAAAGAAAAGGAACAGTCAACACGGGAAACGGGGGGGGAGGAATGGTCTCACCATTATCCGGAATCGGCAGCGTCTCCAAGGAGTGGATGTAATGCATCTTTACGACGTCTCTATGGAATTAGTCCGACGGGCGGTTTAAAAAGGGGGGGGGGAAGGAGGGTAAGGGAGTCGGGAGGGAGCGTCGTTGGGGTCGTCGTTAAGAGTTGGTCGACTCTCGCTCTCTCTTCTTCACACAGAGACACACAGCGCACACAGACTCGTAGGAGCAAAACCCGCTGAGCGAAATTCGGGGCCAGGTTGGGCGGTTGGGCGGTTGTGGGGGGTTTGTGCGGGCGTCGCTTAGGTGCCGGATTTGGTTTAGCGTGGGGTTTAGTTGGGCAGCGACTGCGCAAGCAACATTCGGTGTCAACTGCCGTATGGATGGCAGCTGTCCGTATCAATGGTTATAGGAAGCGAGGAAGTGGATTTTTGACATTGATGCTAGGGACGTCTATGGAGCATGCGCTGTCTATCAGCTGCTACTGTGGCATACACTCCATTTAAGCTGCTATCTCCCAGTGCAGATCTACATACGACTAGTAACAAGAGACCCCGGAAAAGGGATTCGATCAATGACGATGTCAACACGAAGTACGCGTTTCTAAGCTCAAGGCCTGAATTAATATGACTTTTCCAAAAGTGAGTACATTCCTTGAAAAACCAGTACATGCCTGCCTGAGATAACTCATTGCCCAACTTGCTCTTCTCAGCCTTCTCCTGTCATGACAACGCCAATCGTGTATATATTCAAGCAACAAAATATATACACACACGCGTATCATAGGATGGGGAAAAGGAAAAGGGAAAAGGGAAATGTGAACAGGGAACTCGCAATAAAGAAATAAAATTAAAGCCTTCCACCAAATCAAAGTCATGCCATGGTCATGCCATATCAAGTCCCGTTGCCCCATTGTATGAAACACGAAGAGGGATGGAAAGGAGAAGGAAAAAGAAAAGAAAAAAAGAAAAAGAAAAAAAACCACCCCAGAACTCCGTTTTGCGCAGACATATACAAACCTCATTAGCATCCTCGAAATTAAATGCGAATTTGCAACAGGGGTGTCATTTGTGCTTGACCTCCCCTTCCTCTTCCCACAGGAATATAGAAGGCGAAAGAGAAAGGAAAGGGGAATTAAACATAAGGAAATTAAGAGGGAAAATGAGATAAGAGGGGGGGAGGGGGGAGAGGCCAATCCACCTAACCAGGAAAAATAGTGAGCTCGCTTTCAAATGATATATATACCCATACAAACAAAAAAAATTAAACAGTTATAAAAGAGGCGTGCGTTGACGAGTTCGACACCGCCCTCCTCTATTTTCCCCCTCCCCCTCCCCCTCCATACGGTGTAAATGTTTCATACCCGCACCAACGAAATCTCCATAACCCTCTTCCCCCCCAACGTCTGTATCTTGCCCGCCAATTCATTCCGCGCATGCAAGCCCTCAATCTCATCGCTGCCACCAATCGTCATCCCGTTAACGAGGACGTTAGGCACGGTGCTCCGGCCCGTGTTTCCCGCGAGGATTTGCTGCAGTTGGCTGCCCAGCGGGTGCATGTCGAGCTCGACGACGAAAGGGGCCGGGACGATTTTGTACATGTTTAGGATGATGGATTTGGCTTTGAAGCTGTAGGGGCAGAAGCTTTTAGAGAATATTATTACTACATTTTGTGGTTAGCTGGTGGTAAAAGTGGTGGTGTGCAAGATAGAGGATTAAGATGGGAAGGGGTTGGTTATGAAATTTATTATCAAATATGCATTGGTGGTGGGAGTGGATGCGGGAGGAGCGGAGCGGAGCGGGGCATGGCGGTATTGGGGGGAAAGTGGACGGGGGTGGAAGGGGAGGGAACGGGAGGGGATGGTGGAATGATGATATGCTTGGGTTGTACAAAAAAACATGTCAAGAACAACAATCCCTTTTGTGGGGCATAAAGACAATGCACAATGGACAAATGAATGAATGAATGAACAGAAGAAAAAATAACATACTAGGCGACCTCTTCAAAATAGCATTCAGCTCCTCCTCAACCACTACATCCTCCTTCTGCGGCGTCGACGACACAGGCATCTTCTTACGTCCCGCGATAGACTTCTCTTCCAACCCTGTGCCATCTCCCCCATCTCCATCGCCAGGCGTCATCTTAAGCGGACTCTCATATTTCTGCCGCTCCACCGCAATAGCCTGCCTATCCTCTGGCGCCAGCTTCGGCACCTTTAACTTCTGGAAGAGACCCTCATCGTCCATCTCGCTGTTAGCTCGCCCGGCTCGTTTGGCCTCCAAGGCCTCGACGGTTTGCTGGTAGAATTTCCCATTTTGGATGTGATGAGTGTTGGCCTGTAACATGTATGGGTAATGAATTTGTTAGTTGTCTTTTTTCCCCTTTTCATTCGAGGGATTTGCGCCGATCAATCTTGCGCGGGTCAGATCACCCGCCGTCCTCCAGGCCCCACTTCCTGCCTCTTCTCCCTTATTTCCCCCCACCCCCGCATATTGGAGTAGCGAAGTCACTCTCCTTTGGAGTAGACTGGCAGCCAAGCCAAAATAAAATAAAATAAAAAATAAAGAAAATGAGAATACTTACATTTAGATAACATATCACGAACACAGCACCAAGCACTGCCAATAGCAGCACCCTGAGGCCGCGACGGGTTGTTGGCGGCATGATTCTGCGCCCGCCCGACGACGAGGGGAAGGAGAGGGCGGAGGAGGGGGCGTGTCGTCGGGCAGAAAAGGCTTGGGATGTTGCTCCCTTCATGGTGGGCGGATAAAGGGGTCCCGACCACATGGGCACGCGACAACGACGACGACCGCTCTCAGACTACCACGGGAGAGAGGAGAAGGAATAGAGGAGGTACTCATGGGACTCGGGAGGAGAGGGTTGGGTTTGGCCAGCGGCGGAGTGATAGAGCGTGTCAGGCAACGGGATGGAGGAATCGAAGGGATCGAAGGGATCAAAGGGATCGAAGGATGGAATCAGGCGTGTTGTTGTGCAACGGAAGAGAAAGAAATAGCTGCGAGAGGGCTGGCTTGGGCTGGAAACGCTACTGGGCGTGGTGGCTTGTGCCCAGCGAACTGCGAGGCCAACTGTGCAGCCTTGTCAAGTGTTCAGCCAGGAACGCGAGTTAGTTATGAGGATTTGCGGTCCGCTCTCTTGTCTAGTTTCTGGATAATCAAACCTGGAAGAAAGAATCGCCAGGACGTCACGGGGAGACTGAGGGTAAACAGGCAGACACCGAGCATCGGCACAACGCCCAAGGACAGGAACCGGGTCAGGGGCAAGGGGAAAGCTGGGGAAGTATAGGGAGCAGGGAGGGGTCGGAGGAGTGAACTCCCCGGACCAGGAGCCGAGGGGGTCTGGCAGGCAAGAATGTTCGTGGACCACTCCATATTATTATTATTATTATTATTATTATTACTATTATTATTATTATTATTATTATTATTATTATTATTATTATTATTATTATTATTATTATTATTATTATTATTATTATTATTATTATTATTATTATTATTATTATTAAATTATTATTATTATTATTATTATTATTATTATATCATTATTATTATCATTGTCATTATTAATATTAATAAATCTAAAAAATGGCTTAAACTAGTTCATGTAGGCCTGTCTGTGGTTTCTTCTGGTTTTCTGTCGACATTGGGCCCTCTCAGCGTCGAGACCCACTCCCACTCCGGGTACCTTAAATGCCGGCCAGGCCTAGGCGGGAGTTTATTGCAGACGGAACCCTGCTGTCCAGTGCTTTCAAGGTTCCTCTTCGGACTCCCAGTATGGATCCTTGGATACTTGGAAGCGGAAAGAAGGACCACCACCGTGGCAGGTTACCCACTCCTGGGGCATTGCTGGAATTTCGTGCTGTTTATATTCGTTCGTTGGTTGCTAACGGCTGAGAGCTAGCAGCTGCAAAGGTGTTCCTGGTCCCTATATCGTTACCATATGTTGGTTGTACCTCAGCCATACCCAGGAAACCCCACGGTTAATCTCCTGGCCCGAATATCACCCAGTTCCCCCGCGGAGAACGAAGAAAAAGTCTCCGTGGGGCCTGCTTCTCAACTAGGGCAAATATTTCTCTTGCGCAGTCCAGCTCGATCTATGCCGAGATATTCTAGCCAGAGGGGAGGGGGGAGGGGGGGGGGGTTTCAATGATCACCGTCTCAAACACCAACTCCGGGCTGGGGAGGGAGAAGGAGGAGGGGGATATATAATAACTACGAAGTCCGATGCCAAATAGAGAGAGATGATGGTTAGTTATTCAACCTGGTTCCTCTCTTTTTCCACGAGCGTCAACGCAGGATGTACACCAGGGGATGCCGGTTCTACCCGGGAAGTTGAGCGTGTGGTTGTGGATTTGAATATTTTCTTGCTTTCTTTTATTATTAATTCTATTCTTAACTTTGATTGTTACTCCGTTCTCCGTCGATCCATAGTTCCCACCCTCTATGGATCCGTCCTCCCTGCCAATAATTTGGTTGCCTTTTTGGTGACCCGGAGTCTGCTCTTGAAGATCGCCCGGCGCCGTACAAACCCACATCTCTTCTCTCTGTCTCCTCTCTCTCTCTATTCTCTTCTATAATTGAAAAATAATCTGGGTGAACGTTTTACACATCATGTGATGCCTCATCAAAATTTGACCAGGGCATTCAAAACAGCTGCAGGCAGTCTGTTTTTTTCTCTCTCAGCTCCTTTCTGTTAGCTGCTGACCTACAGATCCAAGAGCCTCTTGTTCAATTGAAGCGCTAGTATTCAGCTGAAGGCTGGTTGAAGGCTGAACCTGCTACCTGCTGCAACATCCTCTGAGAGTAGCTGTTGTAATCCAGGATTCCCTCTGTGGCAGGGATGTACAACCCAGTTCGGATCACCCTCGATGCTGTGATGGTATCAAGTGGGTGTCCTTCTCATCACATCTCAGAGTAGAAGCATTAGTTTAGTCCATTATCTGCAAATATTTTTTAATATCGAGTGAGTTTAGGAGTATAAACATATCTTATTGCAGAAAGGATAGTTCAACTACTACTAATTTTGCATCTATATACAAAACAGCCAGCTTGCAATGATTTTTTTGCTTTCTCACTACAACTATACTATCTGGATATATGGCTGAATAACACTGTATGTATATAGTGCAGTGAGTGAAAGGTCGTCTTAAAGCTTATTACAACTTAGAGTCTGGGCCGGTCCCAGCCTGTTAGCAAACTTGTCCCTAGTGGTGTAGTGGCTAACATCGCTGTCTTTCACACAGCAGCCCGGGGTTCGATTCCCCGCTAGGGAGTCTAACATGCGGTTTCTCTTTTACTCGAGTCTCTTTCGTCCTGTTAATTTTATTCCGCGCTGCCGTCGCTGCCCTCGTTCCGATCCTCCTCCTCCTCCTCCTCCTCTTCTTTAGAGAAAGGAATGACGCTTCCTCGTCATGCTCATGTAGAGCAGGGAGAAGCCCTAAGCCGTATACAGCTTCACAACTCAGTCAGCGTTTGCTTCAGCTCGACGACCCCAATTCCGAGAAACTCGGGGGAGATTTGGAAATATAATACATAACATATATACTGGCCGAAATATGCTGAGTGACAAAGTGCAGCGGACTGCTGATTGTCAGAATGTTGGGAGTCGTGTTCAGCCACTCGATGGATAACCACGAAGCCGATGGTCGTAGGGGACCCAAAGAGAAGATGTTCTGAGAACTCTTTTATCTCCGTGAGATTTGTTGCGCACTTGATGACCGAAGTTCTGAGCTGACGAGAGAATCTATTTTTGATTTATTGTCCAGGCCCGAGGCCGAGGTTGAAGCCTAGGGAGCGTGGAATCATGATTATTCCCCCGTGTTTTTGCTATAGCGCCACCCACTGCACTGAGTGATAACCCGACGAGGCACAGGAATGAGCGCAACTTTTCGATGATATGAGCTTTTATTGTTGTGAGGCGATTGGCCAGGCCTCGGTTCTTGGGATGTTGTTGTTGTTGTCCGTTGTACAAGGCGAGAGAACACATCTTCTGCCCCTACTGCTTGGTGAGCGCAGAGATCACTTCCCCCGTGTTTCATCTTTTTCGATGGAGTTTCAATTGCTCCTTAAATGACTTGGGAGTAGAGACGTGTAGTTCGAGTGTGAATTTTGCCACTGTTTCATTTTCTTGCTGGTACACTCTTCGACGATCTTCCGGAAGATGGCTTCGGTTTTGAGAGCTTTACTCCGCTGAAGTTAAGTATCTTTAACTGCAGAACTGAAGAAAAGAAAAAGTCCGCAGCTTTATTAATTCCGCATGTGTTGCCCTCATGTCTGCCCCGAGGCCCCCGCATTACGGCGTATCTGCATAAGCCCGCCTCTCAGCTATCAACTAGTTAGTCCATCGTCCTGCAGAAGGAGCTGAAATACGCGGATAAGAAACCCGAGGAATGAATACGAGTCCTCCAAGCACATCCTGGTAGCACAGCTTGTTATTAAAACCGTCCACCGATTCCTTCACTGGCTTACTTTTTCTCTAAATATCTCCCACAAGATGGTTTCGCTTTTTTGGCTGACGGCTACGTTATCTACCACATAAATGCAATTTGCAACAGTCTTGCTGATGCGCTTTCACTCTTCAAACTCTTTCTACATACACTCTTCAGTATTTACGACTGAAACAGTCGAACCACTTTGAATTCTCTAGTTGCATAGAAACCTCCCTTGAATCCCGCGAATGCCCATCGACGAGGCCTTGTTGATAGTTAACAACTTCTGCACTGACTATGAGTCCAACACAAAAAGCGAATTACATCGCGAAGCAGCAATCACCGAATTAAGCCTGGACAAAAGTCATGGAGTCCACGCCTGAGGTCGCCCAGCAGAGGCAAGGTTGCCCTGCACAGGACCTTACGCTCGAAGTGGACTTTTCCTGGAAACGATACAAATCACTCATCACCGAGAAGGACAACCCGCAATCCCCTCCACTCTATATCGTCGACTACAGAGCCACGAAGCCACACCTCGCCTTCAGAGCTGGTGAGGACCAACCCCCCTTTGCCACAGGAAGCCTTCGCACCGTCTCCATCAATGCCGATTGCCAGATTCGCGGTCGCACAATCACTCTCAAGGCTCTCAAGCGCTTCAGGACGGAGTATACGCATCTCTCGTACGCCTTCGCCAAGGGCAGCATCAACAGTGCTGCGCCCGAACCCGTGCCCATGACTTGGACCAGCTCGAGCGGCTTCAAGACCTGGGACTTCATCTGTCTCGACGAGAAACAGATGCCTCTGGCGAAGTTCTCCGCAAACGCCTGGTCGCTGAAGAAGGTGGGCAACATTACGTTGATCGGATCGAATATCGCTGCAGCGACCGGCAGCGACACCATCAGCGACGCTGTGAGAGAAGAGATTGTCGTTACGGGATTGACGCTGTTCTATTGCATGGTGCTTCGGAGTACCAGCATTTTGTCGTTTTTCGGCGCCATCTTTTCGCGACCTGGTCATGATGAGAGGGAGAAGGAGAGGGAGAAGGATGGGTCCATAGCAGCGCCTGCTGCGGAGCAGTAGCGGAGGGAGCAGTCTGGAGGGTGGGGGGTGTTTGGTCGAATGACTTTTATAATC